TAACTTTGCCTAATTTTCTATTGGTCATACATCCCACCCTCCCTGGACTTCCCATTATTGAGATGGATGCTCTAACTGGCAGTGTGACCCATTAGAATACAATTAAAACTGGCTCACACTGTTGGCCTCACCAAATGGGAACTTGTGGATCTGCCCATTTAAATTGTTAAGATGGTCCAACATAAATTGAAACAGGGCCTTCAAGGATTGAGACCAATTATCCCTACCGTCTCTCCACTTTACAGTCCAATTTGACCTGAATGGTACCTCACAGTGGATTACTGCAACCTTAATGTAGTGGTCCCACCCATTAAGGCCTCTATACCTAACATAATTGAAATGACTGACACTATTTGATCTTCTACTGGCAAAACCAAACAAAAAAGCAAATCTGTTGCTGTGGAGTTAATTCCAACTCATAGCGACCCTATAGGACAGAGTAGAACTGCCCCATAGGGTTTCCAAGGAGTACCTGGTGGATTAGAACTGCTGACCTTTTGGTTAGTAGCTGTAGAACTTAACCACTATGCCACCAGGGTTTCCTTCTACTGGCAAATACTTCGCTATTTTAGATTTGGCTAATATGTTCCTTTCAGTGACTATTTCAATAGCCTCTCAGTTCACATTTACCTTTGAAGAGATGCAATACATCTTTACTTGCTTGCTCAGTTTTGGCCATCACACATGATCTCTGCCTTCAAGCTGTTCTCAGGTACACATGTATGGCGCTACATTGATGACTTCCTCCTGCAAGGATATTCACTAGACATTCTCACACAGAACATAAAAACACTCACCACTGCATTTACTGAGAGAGATGGGATATTGCCTCACATGAGGTTCAGAGGCCTGCCACCTCACTTAAATTCTTAGGCCTTGTCTTGGTTATCTAGTGTTGCTATAACAGAAATACCACAAGTGGATGGCTCTAACAAGAGAAATTTATTCTCTCACAGTCTAAGAGGCTAGAAGTCCAAATTCAGGTCATCAGCTTCAGGGGAAGGCTTTCTCTCTCTGTCGGCTCTGGAGGAAGATACTTGTCATCAATCTTCCCCTGGACTAGGAGCTTCTCCGTGCAGGAACCCTTGGTCCAAAGGACACGCTCTGCTCCCAGGACTTTCTTGGTGGTAGGAGGTCCCCCCTCTCTGCCTGCTTCTCTTTCCTTTTATCTCTTTTAAGATAAAAGGTGATGCAGGCCACACTCCAGGGCCTGGATTAGGGATGTGACCTTAGTGTGTTACAATCCACCCTAATCCTCTTTAACATAAAATTACAATCAAAGTGGAGGACAACCACACAATACTGGGAATCATGGCCTAACCAAGCTGACATGTATTTTGGGGGGACACAAGTCAATCCATGACACCCAGGTACAAAGGATGTGCTCCATTCCTGGCTCTTCTTGGTAGTAATGAGGTCCCTATCTATTCGCTTTTTTCTCCTTTTATCTCTTGTAAGATAAAAGGTGATGCAGGTCACACCCCAGGGATACTCTCCTTACATCAGATCAGGGCTGTGACCTGAATAAGGATGTTGCATCCCACCCAAATCTTCATTAACATGACCTAATCCTGCCTCATTAACATAACGGACAGCTCACTCCCAAATGGGACCATTAACCACAGGCATAAATGTTAGGATTGACAACATATTACAAAATGGAGGATAATCAGATCACAAAATGGAGGACAACTACACAATACTGGGAATTATGGCCTAGCCAAACTGACACATATTTTTGAGGGACACATTCAATCCATGACAGAATCTTAGTAGGAAAGAGAATAGTGCAGAGTATTTGCCATATTTCGAAATCTGATTCACACATACATGCACACACAGATTTAATAACATTGCAGATCAGCAAACCTCAAGCATAAAAAATGCAAAGAAATCACGCAAGACACAGTCCAAACTACTGAAAACAAAAGATACGGAGAAAAATCTTAAAAGTAGACAGAGAGCAGGGAAAGACATTATGTAAAGGAGAAAAATGTGAAGAAAGTTAACTGACTTATCAGAAACAATGGAGGCCAAAAAACGAGAAAAACACCTGTATGTGTTGAAAAATAAAAAAGAAACTGTCAATCTAAAATCTTATGAGCAAAAATATAGTTCAAAAAATAAAGGCATTTTCAAATAAATGAAGCCTGAGAGAATTACTCGCCAGCAGACCCACAGTAAGAAATATTAAAAAGAATTCTTCAAGCTGAAGGGAAATACTAGATGGAAATTTTTATCTATGGGAAGGAAAAATATCAATGGAATCTAAAGGAATATCCTTTTTTTACTTTATTCTGTAAAAGACAATTGACTAAATAACAAAATAAAATATATGCCACCAGACACACACACAGAGAATGAAATACTGTTGTATCATCACATATTATTTGTGAATTGGTATAATACTGTGAACCATGAAAATAAAGGATGCATATTTTAGTCCCTAGAGTAACCACTGAAAAGGTAAAACAAAGAAATACAGCTAATAACCAACAGTGGAGAGAAAACACTTAAGTCCTATGCAAATTAACTTGTCTTGAATCTGTCCCTCTGGAGACTTGCTAGTTGGTCCAATACAGCATATGAAAGCAGCAGCAAAGAGGGGACAATACGAGCAGTCAGATATTAGATTTAAACGCAACCATATATAGTTATTTATGGAAGTGATATTAAACCATATGTGGATTTAATTTTAAACAGAAAATTAGAAAAAATCAGGCAGAAAACATCACATCTGCCACTTTTTTCAATTTTAGCACAGTTACTTTAAGGTAACTTTATGGCCAAAAGGTATAATGCCTTTTCAGTGCTTCTTTCCGTCTCAGCCAATTGTGACAAAGTATGTTAAATTCCAGAGATTTGCATGAGAAGAGCTCAATACAGGCCTTGAGAAATAAGATGAATGTTATGAAATGTAGAGAATAGGGTTAGGATTTTTACTTTGCCCTGGAATACAAAAGGAGTCTGGGACTGGCCTTTTTAAAATTTTCATTGCAACAAGCAAAAATGCACAGTGGCAATTGTATTTCTTCTAATAGCACCCTTTTCATCCCCTCTAAATTATATATACTCAGGTAGTTATCATAAATATGACAGAAGAGTAGAACTTGGAGAGATCTTGGGAAATAGACGTTAATGGGAGCATAAATATGGAGACATACAATTATTATTATACAAATATTTTAATGACTTTTTTATATAACCTGCTATACTAGGAGCTCCTTCAGGAAAGAAAAGTCTTAATAGAAAAGTCTCAATCATCTGTGGGCTCATAACCATGTTTAGTTTAGCCATTAAAAAAAATTATTAGTACACCATGCTTTCTAGTTCCTCTTACATAAGACCTATCAAACATGAGTGTATATCCTATGTATAGAAATAAAATGGGACTATGGATACACTGGAGCCCTGGTGGTGCAGTGGTTAAGAGCTCGGCTGCGAACCAAAAGGTCAGCAGTTTGAATCCACCAGCCACTCCCTGGAAACACTATGAGGTAGTTCTACTCTGTCCTATAGGGTCACTATGAGTTGTAATCAGCTTGATGACAATTTTTTTTATGGATACGTTGTTCTACTGCAAACAAAATGATATAATCAGTAAATCAGGAGGCAGGAAGGCACATATAGGGATGCCAGACATACTTTATATTTTGTGGCAGCCACTGAAATGTCTAGGGAAGCAAAAACAAGGAAGAATAGAAAGAATGCGCACGAGAAAGTGACTTTTATATTGCCAACATCTTTAGTTGGTCTAAAACAGATTCACTTAGACCACGCAGTACCCATTGACTACATATGCAAGAAAACAAGGTAGGCTTGCATCCTTGGTCACGAGTGCAATTATTTTGTTACTCACCACTTACCTGCAAATATAGATTAATTTACTTCCCAACAAAATAACAGAATCTCTTAAGTTCTCACAGGATCTTATACAGATCCTACAATCTTAACCATTTGTTCTCGCTATTTTAATTTGTCCACTCTGCCTGCATTCTAAAAAAAAAAAACTAAGCATATATCCTGATTATTAAAGATAAAATTTAAAGTTCTGTCCAGACAAGGTATCATATATTTTGCCCTATGCCTCTTTCAAGTGTAAATTTTTTATCATGTTTCACCTCATCATTCACCACTGTTCTTTTTGCTGACATTATCTGCAACCCCAGTACTAACAAGCGTTTTTCCATTTACTATCAATTGGCAATTGCTTCACCAGAGGGCCTGTTAAATATTTTCAATGTCATATACTTGTACCATGAACTGTTTCTCCTGCTCATTAAGATTTGGTTTACATTCACTTAATTAAAAAAAAAAGTTTAAATTTCTACTGAATTTCGTCATACATAATGCTTTTATACATGTAGTGAATGTTGGTTATGAATAATTTTCCCCAAGTGTCTCCAACACTGTTCAAGTTCCTCAAAGAAAACATGCTATAGAAGTTACTGCCTTAGCAGATTTCCCATTTTCAAGCATCATAATCTCTCCAATAATTTTTCTTTTAGAATTTTCAGAGACCCACATTTTCTGTGGGATAGATCAAGGTATAAAAGGTATATTTTACATAGAAAATACTTCTCATATTTTTGTGACTTCTATACTTCTGAATTTTACTCCATTTCCCTTCTTAACCTCCCTTTCTCTAGTATGAATTCTTTGATGTTGAATAAGGTGTAAGCTATCACCAAAAGTACCACTATAATCATGACAACTATAGGAGCTCCTTCCAATATGAAATCTGTGGTGTTGTGATAAGGTTTGGGCCACAGCTAAAGGCCTTTCTACATTTATTATATTCATATATCCATGACTAAAGGCCTTCTCACAACTATAACATCACAAGGTTTTTCACAGGAATTCTCCAGTTTGAATGACTGTGAAAGACCTTTCCACACTGGTTACATTAAGATTTGTTTCTCTCTAAAGTAAATCAACTGAGGTTGAGAAAGGTATGAGATGTTTGGCTGAAAATAGCGTAGCTAAAAAAACCTTACACATTGCACTCTTAAGTATAACACCAACAGAAACAGACACACCAAAGGACATATACAAGAGTACTTGTAGCAATGTGTTTTTATTATAACACAAAATTTAAAAAAATAACAAATGTCCATCAACAGAATAGTGTATTCTTAACATGGAATAGTATACAGAATGAAAATACACTACTGCCATATGCAATAATATATGAATCTTAAAAATAAGAGTGAAACAAGAAAGACACAAAGAATTCATGATGTATAATATAAAGATTTAAAACATGCAAAAACTACTTTATGGTATTATAAGTCAGGGAAGTGGTTATCTTTAGGGAAGTAAGAGCTAACTACTTTTTATTCCAGAGTGCAATAAGAAATATAGTTCATATTTTCTCTCTCTTATGAAGACTGGTGCTTGTAACTATTTTGTATGTTGCCTCTGCATGTGTGTGTGTATACCTTTGAATTTCATACACACATATGAAATATACATATACATATATATGTATACACATATACACATACATGTATATACAAACACACATATTTTTAGTAAACTGATTCAGTAGTCGAAAAATTTTTAAAATAGGTTGTTGATAGACTTCAGTAATTATACCCATTTTGTATGCTAGTAAACAACAGATAATTGATGACTATTATTACACTTGTGATTAAAATTGTTATTAACATGTTTAAGCACGCTTTTTTTAAATGAAATGTTTATAATGATTTGGAAAGTCTTCACAAGGAATCACATTATTTATTGCACTTCTGTGTTTTCTCCCTTGTGAGTTCTCTGATGAGCAATGAGGTTTCTCTTGTAACTGAAGGATTTACCACACTGATTACAAATATAGGGTTTCTCCCCTGTATGAGTTCTTTGATGTACAATGAGATTTGTCTTCTGGCGAAAACACTTCCCACATTCATTACACTTATATGGTTTCTCCCCTGTATGAGTTCTTTGATGATGAATGAGATATGACTTCCTGCTAAAGGCTTTCCCGCACTGAGAACATTCATAGGATTTCTGCCCGGTATGTATTTTCTGATGCACAGTAAGGGTTGCTTTCTGGCGAAAGGACTTTCCACATTCACTACAAATATAGGGTTTCTCCCCTGTATGAATTCTCTGATGTAGATTGAGATTTGTCTTCTGACTGAAGGATTTTCCACATTCATTACATTCATATGGTTTTTCTCCTGTGTGAGTTCTGTGATGATCAATGAGGTATGACTTCATTCTAAAGGCCTTCCCACAGTGAGGACATTCATAGGATTTTTCCCCTGTATGGGTTCTCTGATGGGCTACTAGGGTTGTCTTCTGACGGAAGGACTTCCCACATTCATTACAAATATAGGGTTTCTCCTCATTATGAGTTTTCTCATGAAGAGCAAGGGTTGTCTTCTGGGAGAAGGACTTCCCACATTCATTACAAATATAAGGCTTCTCCCCTGTATGAGTTCTCTGATGTACAGTAAGGTTTGCCTTCTGGTGGAAAGACTTCCCACATTCTTTACAAATATAGGGCTTCTCCCCTGTATGAATTCTCTGATGTAGAGAGAGTGTTGTCTTCTGGCGGAAGGACTTCCCACATTCATTGCATTCATATGGTTTCTCTCCCGTGTGAGTTCTCTGATGACGAATGAGGTGTGACTTCAACCTGAAGGCATTCCTACATTCTGAGCATTCGTATGATCTCTCCCCTGTATGTGTTCTCTGATGATCAGTGAGGGCTGTCTTTAAGCGGAAAGACTTACCACATTCATTACAAACAAAGGGTTTCTCTCCTGTATGAGTTCTCTGATGATCGATGAGATATGACTTTCTTCTAAATGCATTTCCACAATGATGACACTGATAGGGTTTTTCCTCTGTGTGAATTCCCTGATGCAGAATCAATACTGACTTCCTGCAGAAGGATTTCCCACATTCAGTGCATGTATGCTTTTTTTCAATATTGGTTGCTCTTCTCCTTTTACTATATTCAGATGGGTTTCCCCCTCTGTAAGCTCTATTATGTGTAATTAAGCCTCCCTTTTTAAGGAAAGACTTCTCATGTTCATTATATCCAAGTGGCTGTGCTGGAGTTTCCATCTTCTGATACTGAATAAGCACTTCATTATGACTGAGAGCCTTCCCACTTGGATTATGGGATTTGACTCCAGGATGAGCTGTCTCTTGGTTAGTATTGAGGAATGATTTCCCATATCCATTACATTCACCAAGTGTCTTTCTTGCAGGGCTTAAATTATTGATGATTAATTCTGAAACATTTTTAAAAATTGTTCCATGAGTACCATATTCAGAAGATAGATTTTTTGAAACAGAGTTTTTGTCTAGAGTAAATGCCTTTTCATATATATTACTTTTCTCCTTAATCACTTTTTTGTGGTTGATGAATACAACTGATCTAGAATATGTATCTTGGTGTTCCTTGGATTTCATTAAGAAGTCTTCAGCTTTCCAGTTTTCTTCTAGAAAAGAATACAATTAATAACAATTTGTGAATCTTCACACATTTGCTATGGAAAGGAATTGTACTAGGGCTGACTGGTTTCAGGCCTAGCATATGGCCCAAAAAGGACCCAGGGCAAATTACCCACTGGGTGGGAAAAACCACAAAACAAACAAGAGCCCTGCTTCATTGAAAAGAAGGATGAAAAAATAAGCAATGAATACTAGTACCTTTTGCACCAGAACTTCACAAAGAAAGTGAAATGAACACAAGAAGCAGTGAGCAGAAGACTAAGAATGGTAACAAAGGGTTGTTGCTTGGATAGATGGATCCAGAGGCAATGATGTGAGCCTATCAAGGGCACTAAACTGTAAGTTGGATGGCCAAAAAAAGTTTGTTCAGAGAATGAAAAGACAGATCACTGTTGGAGGACACAGATCAGAGCCTATACTTTCGTATACTCATCCCTAGATTACTGTGATAAAATGCTTCCAGTAGGCTTTAACAGTAAATTAATTTTCTTCCAGCATCAATTTTCTAGCATTTACAAAATAATCCTACAGTCTAGGCTCTAGTCCTCCATCTAGCTGGAAATCATTTTCACTTGTAAGGGGAGAACAAGGAAAACATTTCCAACAGGAACTTTAAAATATTCACTGCTGTATTCAGATCACTCCTACCATCAATTCTTTCAGAATTATTCAGTAATGAAACGCTCTTGACCATCAATTCTAACTATTCCTCTTAATTTGCTTACTTAGTTTTCCAGGTTTAAGGAAAGACTGGGTGAAGTCTTTCCTAAATCCAGTAACATTACTTAACTCCAGCTTTTCATATGGGGGACCACAGGGTGGATTCATTCATTAACCTTAACTTGCATTTTTCTTATAAATTTATAGCTATACTTTTGTTTCACTGCTAACAGCCACATCTAGTGAACAATGTTAAAACTAGGCTCAAAAATCTTCTATTTCTTCCTTGAGTCTATTACCTCCAGTACTAACATGTAAGGCATTTCTTCTGTAAACAAAATTTTACATCGCCTAGATTCACTTTTTATACTCATGTTTTAAGGCTTGTCTACATATCTGACAAGTCCCACCCATAACAAATAACATCTGCTTCAGTCACACCTAGTGTTTATTGCTACATAAATACCTCACTCATTCTTAATCACAAGCCTCTGGTCATATTCTTTTAATCAGTTAGCATGCCTTCTAGTCTTATTTCCACTGATATTTAGAGACCCTTCAAGAAACTGCTTCTGTTCCATGATTTCAAAAATCCTTTGCCACTCCCCTAACACTGTTTTCTTTAAATGTGAAAATAATCATGGTCTGAAAAATGTATTTTAACAATTCTCTTAATAACCTTGTACTGAATCATAAATATTCCATAAAAAGTACAGATTTTGATAACCTATGTTCATAGACAGTATTTTATTGGCTATCTCCATTGAAGCCTTCTGTGTTTGTATCAACACTGTATATCTAAGGGTCACTATGCATTGGAATTGACTCTATAGCAATAGATTTTTTTTTTTTTTTGGTATAACTTAAGTAGGTGGTCATCTGCCAGAATAGCCATTTCAATCAGCATCTATAGGGACATAACCAGAGCAGGTATACTTAAAAGCAATTTCTTAGCACTTACTTTCTGAATGGATGAAAGAGATATCAACCCTACATAGCTCCAGGGACAATTAATGAAGTAACTACTAAACGTGCTATATATTAAAACAATTCAAACAGAAGACCATACCTATGGAGGAAAGAAACCTTAAGCAAAAATCAAGTGCGATCATGTATCCATTTACATGATCATATCCAAGGGTTTTGTGTGTGTGTCATAGTAAGTAGTACTAGAAATCAGAAAAAGAAAAGATGAATGTGATATGGAATAATTCGTGGCGAAAAAAATCCTGAGACTTAACTTAAAAGATATATAAATCTGGAGAGGAGAGCATAAAAAATACAGATGTGATGACAAACTCTACATGGATGGAAAACATTTAGGAGACTAGGTCATGTAAGTGGAAATTAGCAAGAGTTTTCAGCAAGAAAGAGAAATAAAGCTGAAAGGAGCAGATGAGGCCTTATTGTGAGAGTCTTTGAAAGAAATTTCGATTTCATATAATAAATAATAACAGGGAGCAAGTATTCAAATATCTTTGAAAAATGACTAAGATGCAGCTGCAGTACCTTCTCAGGAAAGTAACAATATAAATTGAAAAGATTTCAGACAAAAATTATGGCAAAGCCAAATAATTACAGTAATTGAGGCATGAAATAAGATAGTTGTCATTTTGTATGATGTCTGAGAAATGAGAACATGAGAGAATGCAGAGAACACAAACTGTAAAGAGATCAAAAAGAAAGGATGACAGAGGCAGAAAAATAAACCTGACATCAAGGTGCGAACAAAATAATTTAGAAACAGATAATGGGAAAGAATTTTAGAGGTGGGAAAGTCAGTGATTTTCATTTCTGATATATTGTAACAAAATAGGTGACACATCAGAGTGTACTCCTGAAGGCGTGGAGTGGAGATAGGAGAAATATGCTGAATGTTGATGCTACAGCCATCCACATGAAACAAGGAACGTAAATCCTGAGAATGGATGAGACTATCATAATATGAGAGAGTTAATAAAGCCAAGACTGAGAGTCCAGTGAAACAATATACATTAAAAAAAAAAATCTGAGACTATTTGTGCCAGGCATTGTTCTAAGCAATATGGCCACAGTGGTGAAGAAAACAGATCAAGTCATAAATAAGCACTCAGGGAAACAGGATGAGAATAAGTTAGTTTATCGAAACCAAGGGTTGACGATCAGCACTATAAAATGAAACCCACAAAGGTTTACCGGAAGAAAATGATGACTCTGAAATTATCAATCTATGCTGAGGCAAATGAGTTTTAAAATTAACAGCTAAATTTGTGGTGAGAATGGGAACTAAGGGTACAGAAAACAAACAGGTAATAAAAAGAAAAACATTAGACCAGGGTTTTCTTTTTTAAAGACATACTTAAGAATGCCTAAAAAGAAATCTGTCACAATGGCAAGAAAACAACAGACTGAGAATGCTAAAAAAGAGACAAAAATCAAGAAAAAAAGATGGAAAAGAGAAAAGGATTATAGTACACTTTGGGTAAATTAAGAGTAGAATAAAGGAGCCTTGGTGGTGCAATGGTTAAGCACTCAGCTGCTAACTGAAGCTCTGTGGGAGAAAGACTTGGCAAACTGCTTCCATAAAGATTACAGCCAAGGAAACCCTACAGGGCAGTTTTATCACTTCACACAGGGTCACTATGAGTCAGAATCGATTCAACGGCACCCAACGGAAAAAACAAAAGTGGAATATCTCTGATAACAACAAGCACCCTAGGAAAAGAATGTATCTGAAGAGAGTGATATTTGAAAGCATGATGTTAAGTTTTGGAGGCATGAAGGTCATTTCAAAGATTCCAAAAACCAGACCAAAGCCATTGCCATCAACTTGATTCTGACTCACAGTGACCCACTAGGACAGAGTAGAACTGCTCCGTAGAGTTTCCATGGAGCAGCGGGTGCATTCAAACTGCCGACCTTTTGGTTAGCAGCTGAACGCTTAACCACTGCACCACCAGGGCTCCAGAGATTAGGAGAATTTAAAGATACTTCAAAAACATTTCACAGGTGTCACCCACAACCTGACCACTTTACAATGTAATTTCCACTAGACTGCATCTGCCTGGGACTCAGAAACTCACCTAAGTAGGCACGACCTGCAAATGATGTCCATGGCTCTTCTCCTCGTTCCAACTTGAGGATCACATCGGGCTTGGTCATGTGACACCCTAATAAGGAAAAACAAGACTAAGTTGAAGTTGTTGGGCTTTGATACCTTTGAAAAATGACTCAGATGCAGTTTCAGTGCTTAAGAAATTAAGGTACTCATTTGTGTATCAGCAAATTTAGCACCCTGCACTGGGCAAATGATGCCACAAACATTTTATTGTTGTACTTTAAGTGAAAGTTTACAATTCAAGTTAGTCTCTCATACAAAAATTTATACATACATTGTTACGTTACCCTAATTGCTCTCCCTATACTGTGACAGCACACTCCTTTACATCCCGGATTTCCTGTGTCCATTCAA